CATACATACATACATACATACATACATACATACATACATACATACATATATATATATATAAAGTGTGTGTGTGTGTGTGGGGTGTGTGTGTGTTCCAGCATAACTCCGGGAATAGGGGGGCATATAAATGAAATAAACCTAAACCTAAAACTCTGGAATGCCTCGAGCAATTTCAACCAAACCTGGTACACAGATGACTTACTCTCTGGAAAAAAATACAGGGGGGGGGAGACACCACTAACACCCTTGGTGGAGGGGTGTTCTGTTAAGATATAGCCTGTTGTGCCTTAAAATGGCTTCTACTGTACTGCTGTGAAATGGCTTCTACTGTACATCGCAGTGGAGTTGCCATGGTAATGGCTTCACAGTACTCCACAAGGTGGCTCCCTCTGGTAAGGGGGAAAATCCAACATTAGAAATTATGTTTGGTCTGGACATTTCCCTCCTATAAATAAATACCCGGGCAATGCTGGGTTATCAGCTAGTTATAAATAAAACCGGACAGGATGATGGTGTCTCTGAATACAAATTCCACTTTATGTTCACTCTCAATATTTATTTCTGAGATTTCTCTAGCATGGCTCAAATCATGACCACCCCTACACAGGGGTCAACATCCAGAAAATATATATGAAGGAATTCCATGGACGATATTCCCACTGCTTGCATGGATCTCGCTCATGTTTGGCAGCTAAGCATTATGCTGCTCATATTTTTAATGGGCATGAAATAATGGACTTTTAATAGACTTGAAATCAATACCAGTACAGGTAGTCTTGACTTACAACCATTCCTTTCGTGACTATTCAACTGTGACCACGCCACTGGAAAAAAATGCAACTTACAATCAGTTTTCACGCTTATGGCTGTTGCAGCATCCTCATAGTCACGTGATCAAAATTCAGGTGTTTATGATGGTTACATTGCCACATTGTCCCCTTTTGCAACCTTCCCAGTCAGCTTTCGACAAGCAAAGTCAATGCAGGAAGTCAGATTTGTTTTAACAATCACGTGATTCACTTAACAACTGTGGCAAGAAAGGTCATAAAATGGGGCAAAACTCACTCGACAACTACCTTACTTAGCAACATATATTTTGGGATGGATTGTGGCCATAAGTCGAGGACTACCGGTATTGAGAAAAGCAAGTGGGAATTTATTGGGATAGGACAATCCTTTCCGTTAATTATGCATGATTCCAAGCCAGCTAGATGTGAGTCCTTCATAACGCCTGCCTATTTCCCTGGACCAGTTTTCTCCAGCCTGGAAACCTGCCAAAGATGCTGGATTCATTGAGAATTATAGAAGTCCCATTTATCTGAAGAGCACCAGGATAGAGAGCACCCCACATCCCTTTGAAAGTGATGGAAAAATTGCTAAAGGAGTTTCTTGTCGGAGACCTTTCTGTGACGTGTAGCCTGGAGATCGCATACAGACACAGAGCCGCCCGTCGACTGCGAGGCGTAGAAGACTGTTGGCTGCTCGGTAAACATCATTCCGGGCTCCTTTGGCTGTCTTGTAACCTCGTTTCTCAGCCCAGGCTGAAAACACAGAAAGGAGGGTGTGTGTCAGGGATCTAAATAGCATCCAAACGTACATCAGAGTCCCAGGCAAAAGCTTCCTCAAAGTCCCAATTTATTAAGGGAGCCATGTTAGCACATCTGGGAAAACCTGAATCCCACCCAGCTGAAAGTTCAAGATCCTGCCCCTACACCCACGATTCCATTACATGGTCCAATCTTTCACTGCCACGCTGGCAGCTTCCACCCATCCAATTCCGGCCAGGTGCAGAGACAAAGGATGACCTTGAGTTTCTAAGAAGAATGTTATTATGGCTACATATCACCTAACTCCATATAACCCCACTTCCTATTTTCCCACAGTAGAAAATGAATAGTAGAAAGTGTGGCAGGCCCCAAGTCCAAAAGAAAAGATGGCTGGCAGGCCTGACAATGTGCTGGTTAGAACCAGACCGGACATCCAACTCAGCTGGACAAGTTGTTGCTTCAGCACTGTTACCTTCACATACATCCCAGGCACACCAAGGGGGTTCAGGCTTGCCGTGTTCGGCGTCAGGATGCCGCAGCTTGAGCAAGGCCTGCACCGGAATCCGGCTAGCCAAGAACCCCACAGAAGTATAGGGCTCCTGGATCTGGGAAATAGGGTAGATACCAGCCAATATCTGAAAATTAAACAAAAATAAGAAGGATTTATTGCTTGCCAGAGGTTGCTATTGGATTTACTCTGCAAATGTTGACAGACTAAAAAATAAACAATGGAGAAAAGGAGGGAGGGTTTTTTGGTTTTTTTTAAACAAAACATCAGCTCAAAACATCATCTCCTGCAGCAGAAGACTCATCTCCCAGCTAACAGCAACATTGAGTCATCCCGTGTCTCTTCCAACTAACACCCTTGAATTGCATAATAGAAGCTCAGAAACAAAAACCTCTCCTTCAGACTTTTTTTCCTTCTTCTCCTCTTTATAACGTTTTGTTAGATTAGACAATAACATACAAAAATACAAAAGCAAATCGTAAGACGCTTTGTAGGGGAGAAAGGAAAAGAAAAAAAGCGTTGACTTCCAACTCCCCCTCTGTTGCAGTAGAATAAACCATTAATATCAAACCTCAAACTTTTTTGCTTTTACAAAATAAATTATCCATTTCTAGAACGACAAATAAATCTAATCAGTAAAACCCAAAATTAAAGTTTCGTTTTTAAAAAATCTCTCCTTCAGTCTGATTTGGAAGCATGCAGGGAAATTGTGATGGGAAAACATCCAGTGGTGGGATTCAAATAATTTAACAACTGGTTCTCTGACCTAATGATTTCTTCCAACAACCAGTTCACCAAACTGCTCAGAAAGTTAACAACCGGTTCTCCCGAAGTGGTGTGAACTGGCTGAATCCCACCACTGGATGTTTTCCCATCACAATTTCCCTGCATGCTTCCAAATCAGACTGAAGGAGAGATTTTTTAAAA